CTCAGAAAAAAATTCAGTGATTAGATGATAGACATTGTAGAAAAGTTACACAACCTGACTGCAGTAGTAAAATTAATAGCGATGAATAATAAGAGCAGATAGGTTATTTGAAAGTAGTTGTAAATCAGCCACAGAGACGACTTCCAGAGTGAATGGATTTGCCTTCTCATAATATTTGGTACACTGTTCCTCAAATTAGGAAAGCAATAAACAATGCAGGCAACATCTTTTAAACACTTGTATGTATTAATAACCAGGCAGTTATTTTAACAACCTCTTTTGGTTCCAGGAATAGAAATGAAAGAATGATGATGATGATGATGATTCTTATTATTCTTATTCTTTGGTAGATCCAGAGATATGGCAGTAAGATTCCTGAGACGTGTAAGGCAGTTACACTCAGTTTATATACCCTGTTTCCCCGAAAATAAGCTGTACACTGAAAATAAGCCCTAATATGATTTTCAGGATGCTTGTAATATAAGCCCTCCCCCAAAATAAGCCCCACTTAAGTGAAACTCCACCCTCCACTGTTGTGCATTGTGAAGCAACCGGAAGAAGATGACATGAATGTATTTAAATAAATGTAGATTGTTGTACATTTAAAAAATTAAAACATCCTCTGAAAATAAATCCTAATGCATTTTATTTTCAGGGACACGGTACATGTAGATTTTAAAAGCTAGCTTTTCCCCAAGAGAGACACATACAGGATTCCCAGTTGGCCTTTCTTCTGCATACTGGTTCGATAGAGATTGGAGGAATATTTCATTCACTGTTTTAATTGGAAGCAATCAAAAGTATACTCTTGTGTCACTCTATGAACCAAAACAGTTATCTGTATTTTTACAGTTAACAGTATTTACTTCTCTAGATTTTGCAGTTCTAGTTCTCCAACACAAAAGATGGCTAATGAAACATGCATATTAGGGCAGGATGTTGCAATCAATCAATAAAAGGAATAGTGATGATAAAGCAAAACATCAAAACATTTTGTATGGTGAAGCTGCTTGGGAATAACCATGCGTATATTAAGAGAAATGTGCATGGATCAACAAATTACCGTGGAAATTTTGTATTAAAATTGTTGATTGATCTCGAAGTGAGAGAGAATGAGATGAATGGAAGGTTACGAGGGGAAACAGAATGAGAAACTGAGAGGAACCTAAAGCCTCTGTAAATTAGGCCGATCCTGCATCTAGAAACAGGGTGCCCTTAAGAGGAAAAGACAGATTGTTGAGTCTGACGAGACTTTGGACGCATGTGGCAAATTGCCTCGTTTTTGTTCTGGGACTGAGAAACAACGGGGCTTTTTACGTTTTTGATTTGTCAGGCGTAAAGCACTGAAAAATGTGCATTTCTTGGAGGCATTATGATGTAAGAGGAGAAAATAGACTTTCAACCTATGTTTTGGCCCTAAAATGTTGTGAGCCTTGCCTGTCCTTCTGCAGAACTTCCGTTCCGACTGTGCTTCTCAGAATTAGAACATGTAAAATCATAATTGCTCAGTATTTTCAGCATCTTGTCAGTAAATGTCCTGTACACTCCTCAGGCTTCCATTTCGTAGCAGAATTTAGATGACTGAGAGGAAGATTACATCCCCCCCCCCCGAATAAGAGCTGCTACTGTACTTTGTAAGCATATTATGACAGGAATTGGATGGAACGGAAGCCTGTGCAATGTTTTTCGGTTGTGACGTGCTGTCGGTGTTTAAAGTGGGGCCAGCCAGTGAAAAAAATCAGTGTGTGTAACTGGTGTTATAAACTTCAGCAGAGCCTGTCTTGAAAAAAAGATAGAGTTCAGATAAACTTTTGTTGATGATGGAAACCTTTTTTTGAAGGGAGTTGAACACTTTAACAACTGATCACCTTTTCTCCTCCAGGAACAAGATGTGGAAACGGTACATGGCTCCGTGCATGTCACCATGTGCGGAACTCTGCGGGGCAACAGGCCTGCCATCCTAACGTACCATGATATCGGATTGAATCGTAAGTGTAATAAATGCGATAATACTCGTCTAGCTCAGTTGGATGTGTCGTTTCATAAACTTTTGTGCAACGTAGAGCTGATTATCTCAGCTTCAGCTGCTTTATCTTCATGATCCAGTGGAACTTGTGGGAGTACCTTGTGTTGATATAAATGAGCTGCTGGTTAGTTCAGCTAACGGGAAAATTTCCCTAGTTGATGCAGAGAGAAATAATTGAATTCTTACTGGCAAACACACTGGAGAAGCAGGTATATCTCACAATAGTACAATCTCCTATATCCGTGCCTCCTCTTTTCCTAAGGTGATTCTTATGTGACTGCATGAAACCTAAAGCCACTTTTACATGCAGTAGATAATGTGTACAAAAAGGAGTAAAGAAAAGTGTATTTGAACTAGTGTGCTAAGGATTTAAGTCCACTTCTAGCGTTACTGTCCCATAAATTATCCAAGCGCGACAAGCTGGAAGACTTACCCAAAAATAGTCAGTGACCTAAATCCTGTTGTTAGTCCCAGCCGAAGGAGACCCATTGGATCAATGGGATTGACATAAGTGTTGACTCACACCATTCATTCAGCAGTGGATCTTCTTTGGTTGGAACTAGCAGTTAGATTTAGGTCCAAATACCAAGAGGGTGAAAAATGTCTTATTGAAAGCTGAGCATATTTCAGCCCTCGTCAAGAGGTCAGCTCTGCCAAGGCTTCGTGAACCACTTAAGGCTAGCTAAGTGATCTTGCGCACATAATCAAGGATTCCCAGAAGTGTCTTCAGAGGAGCTGTCCACAATTCCAATATCTCTCTGTGGTTCATAGAAGTTCATTGCCTTGTTGATTCAGGAAATCCCCTATTATGTCGATAAGTGCCCATCCCGACTCTTGATTTAAAAGCCCTAAAAACCAGAGGCAGTCCGTTCCGCTGTCAAGCAGCAGCTCATTTAGCTAGCATGGCCATGATACAGATCACTGGAGTAAATCTATACAGTCTTTGCTAATGTAGATTAGATTTATCTGCCATAAAGACTTTTTTTAAATTACAGAATAGGTTAGCATCCGAAAGAAACAAAAGCAGAATCTTCAAGAAAATCAGCTTGGATCTTATACTGCCAGAGAGCAGCTGTCTGTGTTTTTCTTTTAAAATACCTCCTTACATAGAGCACTTCAGGCAAACTTCGTTGAACATTTTTCAGAGAAAAGTATCTTGTAGGTTTATAAAGTTTAAAGGCATCAAGAACAGGCTGTCATGTTTACTTTTTAATGAGAAATGCAATATTCAGAAAGTTTCATTCTAAGCCTCTGGTTATACCTTGAGAATTTCTACTTCATACTGACACAACCATTAATGTTTCCACCTTCTTGCCTCGTCCCGGGACCTTTTCCTCTGAAGACAAAACCTGCTTCAACCCCCTCTTCAATTTTGAAGATATGCAGGAGATCACACAGCATTTTGCAGTTTGCCACGTGGATGCCCCTGGTCAGCAAGATGGTGCAGCTTCTTTTCCACCTGGGTAAGCTTGTTCTCTAGACTTCTTTCATTGTATAATACCTGTTATATTTTTCTTTTATCCTCTCCCCAGAGTTCTGCATGTTAATAAATTGTTGTTATGTGCTCTCAAGTCTGAACCAACTTATAGTAGTAACAGGGCTTTCAAGATAATTGAGATATTTAAGTTCCACTCCTCCAGCGAATTTCCATGACTGAGTAGATGGATTTGAACCCTGTTCTTCAGAGTCCTCGTCCATCAGTCTGTTAACTACACCACATTCGGCATGTTAAAACTCAGAAGGTGAAATCCAATCTGAAACAATACATACAATCAGAGTACTCTACCAAGGGGATAGTGTGAATCGGCAAAATGTTGGTTTTATCTGTTGCCTGCTCTGAATCCCAAAAGTGGGATTTCCTGGTCTTGATGCAAGCTCTCAGAACATGACGTTAAAGAACAAAATTTATAAATTAGATTTACAAATTAACGTCAGGTAGATAATTAAGGGAACACCGAAAACGTACCACAAGACTGCAACAGAGACGGTGTAGTGGGTACAAGTAGACAGACAAGAACACCTGCTAGTGGCGGTACCTCTGTGATCTTGTGTGTATGTGTGTGTGTTTCTTTGTGTGCTTTTATCTATCTATCTGTCTGTCTGTCTGTCTGTCTGTCTGTCTGTCTGTCTACTTATTTACTTATTTATTTATTTCATTTGGCCTTGATGACACTCCTACCCCTTGCAGAAGGCTATTTTTATGCTTCTCTCTTCTATGAATAATGTGCTGCTGTGACAGTCAACATGTGAAGCATTGTCAGCTGTATCATGGAAGTGGTAGCCAAAAACCTTAAGTTTTAGAATAAGGTGTCCTTTTTTTTTCCAGGCCTGCTTCACCCATTGGCTGAAATCCTGTTGCACTGCTAGGCCAAAGGTGTAACTTTTGGAGGCAAGTTGCCTCACGTTAAGAAATCTCCGTAGACCTTATCTGTTGCACAGTGAGCTGCATGACTCTGCATGCAACAGCTAATGCCTACAGAGAATTGTTCAGGGAAGACCACTGGCTTGCAAGGGCGATGCTTTTTACATAGCTGTCCAGCAGGATTTTAGCCATTATTTAGTAACTAGAGATGGGCGCAAACTATCGGTTCAGCCGTCCGGCTGCACCCCTGTTCTGTGGGTGCCCTAGCTTCCCAGCCCCGCTTCCTCCAATGGGGCCCCTTCTCAGAGGGAGATAGCGTGCTTCCTCACATAGATGTGTGTCAAAACAAAAAGACTATAGGATGTGTTTCTGGTCTAGACAAAGCGGTATGATTTGTTCACCTCAAGAGGTGAACCAATCATAGGCATAGATGGGCTGTGGTTCTGATCCTGTATGCTTAGAAGGAACAACTGTCAGTTATCAAAACATGGTTAAATTCGACGTTCTCAATCCTTGTTCTTGTAGGTACATGTACCCTTCCATGGATCAGCTGGCAGAAATGCTACCAGGAATTCTGAAACAGTTTGGGTAAGTCAAAACGTTCACCTTGCCTAAGGTTCCTCATATAATTTCAGACAAGTTTTATTTTCATTGCACATCAGCTTTCCAAGCTTGCTGTACAGACACTTGGCACCAAGATTACTTCATCGTGTCTCCCTCTTGTTGCATCCTCTGACATTTGTTTAAAGTGAACTCCATTTGGACCTCTTGATTACAGTTTGGTTCTGAGGGGATCTCACATAACTCTGGGTACAGAGGTCACTGTGCAATGGGGTCAGGGGAAAATTAGCTGTCTTAATAGAAATGGAACCTCATCCATTACTGACAACAAAACTAGACTTCTTAAATCTATTGTGCCTTTTTTGGCTGACATGGCGTTAGCAATTGTGACAATTCGCTAGCTCTTCCGTTTGTTTTTATGTATATTTACCCTGGTCAGAGATAATAATCCAAGTGTTAAATGGTTGATTTCTTCCATATGCTTCACTTTAGGCCAAAACTTACCTTCCAATGTCTATATGAGCCGTTCAGAATTAGTCTCCTGTGCAAAAAAATACAAAATTTGTGGCTTTATCAGTTGGCTAATTGTACATGGGCTTAACACTTTTTTAAAAGGAAGGCCACGTGCTTGTAAACAAATTCTCTTTTGATACAAACTGTGATGATTGGGTGTTAGCAGAGCCTGTTATTAGTCAGAATTAAAAGGTAAACAGCAATTACAGTGGTGCCTCACTTAACGAGCGATTTGTTTAACAACGAATCTGCATAGCGACAATTTTTTCGGAATGGATTATCATCGCTATGCGGGGCACCACTGTATTTGGGGGGGGGGCACGAAGTGGCCATTTCATACCTTTTCTCTCTGGCTAGTCTCTGAGGCAAATACTAAGCACCCCAAATATAATTTTACAAGGATTGATTAGCATTGTGGGTCCAGAAGAAGTCTGAGTAATCAACACTTTGAAAGTTCATTGCTTGAGTTAATACCATTATATTGAAAGGTTATTATCTGTGCTTGCTGCTTTCTTCACATGTTCCTCACCCTCACAACTTTACAAACCATGTGTGTAACCTTTTTGGTTGAATATTGCACACTGTGCCTGAGAAAGTGGATTATAATCCATAAAAGCTCTCGCTGAAATAATTCTCTTGGTTTTTAACGTGTGTCAGAACTTCTGGTTTTATTACTGAAATAATTCCCTTTGTTTTTAACGTGTGTCAGAACTTCTGGTTTTATTATTTCTTTTGTTTTTGCTGTACATGGTGAGACAGGGGCTAACATGGCTGCTTCTTCGAAAATCACCTATCTATGGCCTTGTCCTATAGGATAGAATTGTTCAATGCAAATATTTTTCTATAGCCTATCAATCTGTCTGTCAGTTTTTTTATGTCGAATATGTCTAGAAAACAAGCTTCTTCTACCCCTGGTACTTGTGCAGTTTGTACTCTCCCTTTTGGTTTAGTGGTGGTCGTTGGGTGATAATAAGGCTAGTACTTTATGAGTAGCACTTCTGCCTTCTGCTTTGCCCCACTGTAGTCTGAACAATTGAGGAAGTTGCATTTGTCCCTTTAGTAAGTTAATAGGAAATAGATCTATTAGGAAATAATGGATGTGTGGCTCCATAAAAATGGTCTTTAGAGAAACCTTCAATTCTCCATGCTTTCTCCTTTAGACTGAAGAGTGTGATTGGAATGGGAACTGGAGCAGGTGCCTACATCTTAACAAGATTTGCTGTAAGTGTTCAATGCCTTTCTGAAAATCCAAAAAAGCTATTACATAGACATGTTTAGTCTTGAGAAAAGAAGACTGAGAGGGAGATAGAATAACACTTTTCAAATATGTGAAAGGTAAGTCATTCAGAGGAGGGGCAGGATCTGTTTTCAATCATCCCAGAGTGCAGGAGATGTAATAATGGGCTCAGGCTACATGAAGCCAGATTTAGGCTGAATATCAGGAAAAATGTCCTAACTGTTAGAGCAGTACGATAATGGAACCAGCAACCTTAAGCATTTAACAGAAAATTAGGCAGCCACCCATCAGATATCCTTCAGTTTGTATTCTTGAGTAGAGCAGGAGTTGGACTCGATGTCCTTATAGGCCCCTTTCAGCTCAATTATTCTATAATTCCATAGTAACTATAGGGGCATCTATACCACACTTTCTGTCGTTCTGCAGTTGCTCGCATGCCCCATGTGAATTGACTTGTGGATGGCTGCATGTAAAATTACAGCCAACAATTTTCTCATTCAGTTGCTGATATGTTGAGATATGTGAAGAAGTACAGAATATGCATGTTGTAAAGTCATAGTCTTATATCTCAGTCTTCACCTTTAAATGGGCAGTAAGTACAAGGTCAGCTTTAGTGGTTTATCCTTAAAAAAATCATTAGACAGTTCCTCCACTGGGACATAATAGCTTAAGATTGCTTAGTGAAATTATCTTTTCAGGGGCGAATCAAACTTCTTGCAGGCTTTCCAAATTAATAGATACCAGAGAATTCTGTGAGCTGGCTGGATAGTTCAATGATTTAGGTATCTGGCAGTACAGCCAGAGGTTGGGAGTTTGATTCCCCACTGTGCCTCCTGGAGGAAGAGCCAGCCTGTGTAGCCTTGGGCAAGCTGCACAGTTCCAGAATGTCCTCGGAAGAAGGGAATGGTAAACCACTTCTTAGTGTTCTCTTCCTAGAAAACCATAAAAAAAGGATCACCATTCAGAATTGACTTGGTGGTCCATGATTGTTATTTATTATTAGAGAATTCTGTGTCCTCCCCCCAAGATATATAAGGTCTCTCTTAATAAACAAGATCTTCCATGTTACACTTGCTTCTGCAACATGTCTTGAATTCTTCAACCTGCAGCTTAACCATCCTGATATGGTGGAAGGACTTGTTCTCATTAATGTCAACCCATGTGCTGAAGGATGGATGGACTGGGCAGCCACTAAGGTAAACATTGCATTTGTTGTAGAAGAGGGGGCTGTGTTCGTCTGAGCAAGCATTATAGGTGAAAACAAAATAAAAATAAAGAGTGAAAAAGAGAGGCAAAAACGTGGTGGCACCTTAAAGACTAGGCTTTACATTTTTTTTAATGTGAGCTTTTGTGGACAAGTCTGATGAAGTGGACTTGTTCATGAAAGCTCCCATTACATTGGTTGGAAACTTTATTTTAGGATAGATTTAAAGGAATCCGTTCCTGAAGCAGAACTTTGACGGGTTTGATCTTGGCATCCATACATGTCTTTGAGCCATATGAAACTTTGCCCACATACACCCATTCAACCCAACTACTTAGCTCTTCCAAAAATTAAGAGGATGGATGAGCATCCATTTTAGCTTCTTCTAGTTCGTATACATTCCTCACATTTCTGCTTTCCCTAACATTTAGGACATTATTTTAGACCAATTCACGAGTCATTGGATAAGGACAGAGAACCTTTTGTTTTAAGGTATTCCTGGAGTTCATCTTCTAGAAGTCTTGGCCAACATAGTTGATAGTAAGATGTTACGGGAGTTGTAGTTGAAAACATCTGGAAGAGCAAAGATTTTGTCCCCTGTGGAAACGAGGGGCCCATGTACATCACACCACCAGCAGTGCATGGTGCTTGGCAGTCATCTCTCCAAGTTGCTTCCAATTATTTGCGGACATAAAATACTTCAGGAACAAAGGTGTCACAACGAATATCCTGGAACTATCAGGTGTGTCCCCCGCTTTCAGGGTTGCTTCCAATTATTTGTGGACAGAAAATACTTCAGGAACAAAGGTGTCACAATGAATATCCTGGAACTATCAGGTGTGTCCCCCGCTTTCAGGGACATCGGCCAGATATAAGAGCAACACACAAGCATCACAGCCTAATCCAAATTCTGAAAAGCATTGTTTTGATTTCTTAAAAACTGTACAGCAGCTTGCGCCAGTGAGACACAATAGACATCTGAAGGCATAAGTAGCATGAATGGTGCCTTTAGTGTCAGGCAAATTAAACAGGTGAGCTAGCAGCTGTTATTTCTCTCCCTCGGAATAAAATGGGTAATGCTTTATTATTTCTTCACTACTTTTCTGCAGGCAGGAATCAAAACATGCCCCAGAAACAGGTCAAAGAATTACACTGTAAAAGCATAAAACATCAATAAAACCATTGTAAAACAATAAAACTACAATTACATTGTAAAAGCTGATTGAAAGAGCAGCAAGAGGTGCGTTGTACATGGGTCACTAAATTATTATACAAAGATATCACCTGGTTTTGCATTTGGATTTCATTTTGTTTGGACCCCATGGCTGCCCTTTACTTCAGCGAATTATTTCTGGAGGTCTTCAAACAACCTACCTCTTCTAAAATTACATTACCTGTTAGTTCTAATGTGTTTTTCCCCCAAAACATTGGTAAATAGTATGTTGGAGGTAGAAACATTGATGGCCTTCTTTTCTTAGCTAGTGAAACACAGATGAATTTGAACACTGTAATTTTGATGGGCAGAATATCTTAAAACATGACATAATGTTAATATAGTGTTAACATTTGCTGAAATCTGTAGATTCTGTATCAGTGGTTCTCATTCTTGGGGTGGTCCCTAGACATTCTTGGAGTTCAGCTCCTAGAAGCCCTTACCACCACAGCTACTGGTGAAAACCTCTGGGCGTTGGAGTCCAAGAATGTCTGGAGACCAAAGGTTGCAAAGTGTAGCCAAAAACTAATAATAAAAGTCTCCCGAGCAGCTTTGGATGACTACATATGTGTCTCTGTTTCTATCATCGTCCAGGAGGACCCCTCTAATGGGAAGTTCATGGGCAGCAATGGAGAATTAGTGCAGGGAAATTGCCCCAGAGGGAGACCACAGCTGCAATACAGGGATATCTGCAAGCAGGATCTGAAGGCCTTAGGAATGGACCTCAACGGATGGGAAACCTTGACCTCTGAGCGTTCAGCCTAGAGGCAGGTGGTGCATCATGGCCTCTCCCAATTTGAAGAGACAGTCATGAAAGCAGCAAAATCAGGGAGCTAGACGGGGTACAGATTGTATTTGTCTTTAGTGTGGAAGGGATTGTCACTCTCAAATTGACCTCCTCAGCAACACTAGACGCTGTTCCAAGTCCTCCATACAGAGCATGCTGCCATAGTCTCTCGAGACTGAAGGATGCCTAATCTAAAAGGGCAGAAACACTGCCCTTCCCATGAACCCTTGGGACTGACTCACAAGGACCAACAAGGCAGTTCTTTCTCTTTGAAATGAAGATACAGTAATGGCAACAGAGACGTATGTTTAGATACCAACATCTGCAGCTCCTAGAATTCTGCCTGAAACAATTCCTGGAGAATTCTAGGTCTTGCAGTCTAAAAGAAATCAACGTGTCAGACTTATTGGAGGTATGCATCTGAGCAAAGATCTGTCAGTCTAATGAGCTTCCAGGGGCTCTGATGTATGGAGAACAGTATCATTCGGTACTTATAACTTTCAAGCATGGGGTGTTGTGGGGAGCAATGGGTGTTTGAGTTAACGTGGCTTGAGGGGGGGATGTATATGATGAGTTCAAGAGTTTGCTGATGGCCACAGGAATCTGTGAAAAGATGTCAAGTGTTCAAATGGTCTTAATATTTGTTTCTGGATTTTCTTCTCTGCAGATTTCTGGATGGGCTCATGCTTTGCCTGATATGGTTATCTCCCATCTCTTTAGCAAAGTGAGTGCCTTTTATCTCATTTGAATTAAGGCGGAGGCTTTCCCATGACTTACATGTGGTAACACAGTGCTAGTAATGAACTTGCAAGTATGTCTAGTGTCCCTCTATTCAGCACTGTTTAGGTTGAGTTATGGTACTGGGTCCAGTTCTGGACACTGCACTTCAAGATGCCAAGAAACGAGCAAGTTCAGAGAAGGTCAGCAAGGTTGATCAGGGGTCTGGAAACCAAGCTCTGTGAGGAAAGACTAAAAGAACTGGGCATGTTTAGCTTTGAGAAAAGAAGACAGAGGGGTGATGTAATAGCATTTTTCAAATACTTGAAAGGTAGTCATACAGAAGAGGGGGCAGGATCTGTTCTGAATTATCCCAGAGTGCAGGACCATGTAATAATGGGCTCAGGCTAAAGGAAGCCAGATTTAGGGTAAATATCAGGAGAAACTTCTTAAATGTTAGAGTAGTACAACAATGGAACCAATTACCTCGGGAGGTGGTGAGCGCTTCAACCATAGAGGCATTCAAGAGACAATTGGACAACCCTCTCTCAGATCTGCTTTGATTTCGATTCCTTATTGAGTAGGGGCTTGACATGAAAGACGTTAGAAGATATAGAAACCAATCTCTTTCCGTAACCGAGGTGGGACAGTAGTTGCGTGCTATTACTTGACATGTTACAATTTCTGATTGAGTAGGGGCTTGACATGAAAGACATTAGAAGATATAGAAATCAAGCTCTTTCCATAACCGAGGTGGGAGAGTAGTTGTGTGCTATTACTTGACATGTTACAATTTCTGTTGTAGAAAATATGGGCTGAAAAAAAATCATTCATATATTATGAAGCTTGAATTGTTGCTGTTTATCTTTATGGAAAAGTTGTAAGCTAAACGTATTTATGTCATGTTTGGGGTAGAAAAGAAATCCTGTTCTTAGACTACTACATGGTATTTGTGCCATTTTTGTGTCAATAATGACATAGATCTTTAAAACAGAAAACAGCATAATCTGTATTGAACGAACCTAGCGTTGATGCTACTGGATGTCTTATCCTTTTGCCCCTGTTTGTGATATTAATGAGACCTTTTCTTAAATTTAGGATGAGATCCACAGCAGCCAAGATTTGATCCATACCTACCGTCAACACATCCTCAATGACATGAATCAAAACAATCTGCATCTCTTTGTCAACTCTTACAACAGGTAACAGTGTGACCAGTTTTCTTAAGAGAGGACGTGCCCCTGGTTGTTTGAGGCAAACCAGTCAAAGAAGTATTGCTGGATAGCTCAGAGGTTTCAGTATCTGGCTCCAGAGACATGAGGTAGTGGTTGGATTCCCAACTGTGCCTCGTTGACAGGGGCTGGAGTTGGTCTACAGAGTCCCTTCCACCTCTGCAGTTCTAAGATGATGACAATGACGATGATTACTTCAGACTGTCTTAGAGATTTTCTGTCATTGCTATCTACGTATGTTTCCTTCTGAATATAGCCTTTCTTTTATGAAATTAATGTTTCTGTGTTGATCATGAGTGAAAACCTGCAGTATGCCAGATCTTGGAGTCAGGGAGAGCTTGAGAATCTTGATATTTAAAGTGGAACATGGAGATTTTCCATTTCTTGACCGGGTGTAACATTCACTCGGTTCTAGCCAGCAATTAATGAGTCCCTGCTGGATTCCCAAGCGTGTGCCAAACTGGCAACTCTTTAATTGCCAGCTGGAACTGAATGTCTAACAAGCTTTTAAGACTTGTGTTTGCAGGCTTTTCAACCATCTTAAATAGAGATGGGCACAAACTGCTGATTTAATGGTTTCGTACAGTTTGTTTCCCAGCTGAACAGCTGTTCGGCACTTTGGCATCCACCCTCTCCAGCGGGCATCCACTTAGCAGCCACTGAACCACCTATCAGTTGTTCGGCCGGGAAATGAAGTGCACCTCACAAGCAGTTTGTGCCCATCTCTTACCTTAAACACAGCAGAAATGTAGAGTTTAAAACTGGCAGGTATCTTTGATCTACTGTAAAACTTCCAGGGAACTCTAAATTCACACGTTGCAACCTCTGTATCATGATGGCTTGCCTTTTTAAGGAATTTGTATTCGTAAATTGCACAAAAGCCTATATGTGCTTAATTGTACCCATCTTGTTTTTCAGCCGAAGAGATCTAGACATTGAGCGGCCTGTACCTGGAACAAGTGTGGTTACTCTACAGTGAGTATTTGTCATAATCCAGTTCACCTCTGTGAGTTGGAAAAGGGGAAGAACGAATTGGCTCAGGTCCCTTCTATGAATGATAAAAACCCTAGGTTGCAATGTAAATTGTTACGATACACTAGCTTAATATAAGCCTCTTTGGTCCCCCCAAATGTGGAGTAGTTCATACCCACCTATATTGGGACTGGATGAGGCCAGCCTTCAAAATATTGCTGCACTATAGTTCTCATCCAGTAGAGCTAATGATGAAAGATGATGGGAGATACTGTCGAAATCATGCTGAGAGCTGGACTTTCCACGCTAATGGCAGATGCATTTCAGGCCTGTGTTAAGCAATTAACGCTATCACAAGTTCTCATGCAAGTTCCTCACTTTAGACTTGATATTTCACATTTAAGTTCAAGTAGTGAGATATGTACAGTACTCTGACAGTATGTTTCTGATCAGGATGGGTTATGCCTTGAAGTTTAGCTATTTTTTTTGGCACTCTAAAACCTTAGAGGGATTGTTTTTCAGAATGAAATGTATTGTGTTTGGAGGAGCATCTTTGTTTTCCTCTAAGCAAAAGTTAAAGCCTCCACTTGTCTACATTTGCTTCTGAAAAGCGAATCTTTTTCAGTAAAACTAGGAGGCCAGAACTGGCTTGATAGCCCTCAGGAATTGGCATGTTCAGCCATTTGAGTTATGGTAACCGTAGATCTTGGAGTGGAGTCAGAGCACATCATGTCTTTTTTCAGTGGTTCCCAACTTTGGGTAACCCAGGCGTTCTCAGACTGCAATTCCCAGAAGCCCCAGCCAGCACAGCTAGTGGTGAAGACTTCTGGGTATTGCAGTCCAAGAACACCTGGGTTACTCAAGGTTGGGAACCACTGTCCTACTTTGATAGCAAGACCTACCAGACACAATTGGAGCATGACCAGCCAAAGACTTCTTGCAGCCCTGTGCCCTGATTTCCTTCCAGTCTCTGCCCAGGTTCTCTCCCACGCTGTCTCACCTACTTCCTCCTACTTAAACTGCTTCCTTGAACACTCCGAACGTGAGCAACCTCTGTGTTCCTGGTCAGATCAAGTTGCTCTTTAATCTGATTTATGAAGAAGGTGACATAGGCAGGTCTTAGTCGCTTACCCTCTGGTGGCTGAGCAGACCCTGGAGAGCATGGGACTTAAGTGCTTAAAAGGTCAACTAAGTGGTTAACTGGTTTACTTGTGAGCTGTTCGGGTTACTGAGCGACACAGTCGTATGAGTAGTGACTTGTCTTATTAGGGCATCTAGTAGGAGATTTAATGCATAAACAATTCTCTCTTTTAAAAAAAGGAATGACAAATCCATAAGATTTTAAGTTTTTTAGATTGTTTTTTGTAGTTGCATGAGTTGCTTCGATTTCCCAGCTAGATCACTGGTGTGTAGAGGTGAACTAGACAGCCTGCACCAGACAACAAATCCCAGAATTCCATACCAGAGAGCCATTGCCAGATCAGGGACACAGATACCTGAACATCTCCCTAAGAGCCCTACAGCAGCCATTCATCCCAGTTACGGGTTAATTTCAGAGTGAAATCCAACTATATTTACCAGTCACATCAACATTCATCTGGGTATCGAGATACAAGTCTTTTAATTGTTGCAATGATTCAAGGCAATGTCAGCTTGTCTAATTCTGCATCCCAGTTATGGGTTAATTCCAGAGTGAAATCAAACTATATTCTCCAGTCACATCAACATTCATCTGGGTATCCAGATACAAGTGTTTTCATTGTTGCAATGATTCAAGCAATGTCAGCTTGTCTAATTCTACATGTTTTATTTCTCTGTGTTACTTTTGTGTTCCATATGCACAAAAATTCTTCAAAGTTGTTGAAAAACGTGTGCAAGTCTTAACAGCTCTGCAAAAAATGAAGGCCTATGTGCTTGAAAGTATATGATAATTAAACTTAAATTGCAGACAAATGCTTAAGTCTGCGTTCAAAATACAGGGACATAAAAATACCCCAAAGAATGTTTTAATTGCATTCTAAAAGTGCAAGAGCTTATAGCCTTAAAAGGCACTTTGAAAAGCAACAGACAGGAAATTTTGTAGTAGAAATCTGTTTTGTTTTAAACTTCTGATCTTCCAGTTTCTGTAAATAGAATCTGGCAAGCTGCCACCATGACGATAAGCATTATTATTTTGACTACCAGTTCCAAAGCCTATGGATTTCAATGGGATTGAAACTACAAGGGTCTAGTAAAACAAAATGAGAGCAAATCACAGGATCTGAAACAGCACCCTTTAGCCATGTCAACACATTGCAATGTTCTACTTCTTTCAAACCAATTATATCAATTCAACCCTTTGTTTACTTCCATGCTAAATGGTCAGGCATAGCAACGTTAATGTACAGTGACCTTGGTTGTAGACTTGGCTGGAGCTGGCGAATTGTTTTGCAGTGACTTTTAGTAAACTGCTGTTCCAACCTCATTTTTAAATTGCACTGTCTATCTTTAGGGCTGCTTTTTCTACACACATACCCTTAATTATTTTAATATTCTCTATATGTCCAAAATTCCACATCTTGACTACTGTGGTGGTTAAACATGTACTATGGGGACTTTTATCAGGATGTATCACAGATACCATTCTGGTTGTATTGGCTACTGTATGGAAAACAGGTGTTTAGAATAATCAGCAAGAGGGTATAATCCAAACAAATTTATATTAAAGGAGTGTGTTGCAGACATATGTATGTTACAACCCAGATGTATCGCTACCTGGATGACATGTGCAGTTCAGTAGAACAATTCAGATGGTCCTAAACGCTTTAAGCAGACAGTGAAATTTCACAACACTGCAATGTTGGTGTCCATTTGCGTAACTGATGACCTAACGCCTTTTGTGCTAATAGCCTTCCGTTTTAACCCCTTTCTTAAAAGCAAGAAGCCACAAAGAATTATAGAAATGACTACAACGTCATTTGTTTCCTTTCAGGTGCCCTGCCCTGCTGGTGGTTGGCGATAGCTCTCCTGCAGTTGATGCTGTGGTACGTAGGCATTAACACGGACAAAAGTAGTGATTCTGAACTTGTCACTTACAGTAGCGCAGCCCTGAAATGCTGCTTCCTCTGTTCTGTCCTCTTTGCTTTGAGTTGTGTTGCCTTCTGTGTGATCTAACACTCAGATTGCCTTATGTAGTTGTCCTTGGCAGCCTTGTGAGAAGGGTTTGTACTTCTGCCGTTGCAAGAAGAAAAGCAGAACTAGGGTGGGAGCATCCTCTCTAGACTTGATCCCTGAAAACTAGGTGAATTGGTGTAGTTCAGTAGCCTCCTCTGAGTTAAAGCCGCAGTGTTAAAGTATAGCTCAGGTTCATTGCACCCTTCTCTGTGGCTGCAAGGAAATGGCAGCTAGACATTCTTTTCCAAGAAATTTAGCAGGTGGGATTATTTCAGTTGGGACTGCATCTTGGGAGGGGGGGTTTAAGCGTATACACTACCTCCTACTCACCCACCCGTGTTTCACCGGGCAGCACATTTACCATTGCACATACCGTATTTTTTGTTGTATAAGACTATACTTTTGTCTAAAATCTTTAGACTAAAAATTGAGGGTTGTCTTATACACGGAAGCAAGCAGAGGAGAGAACAAAAACAAGTGGAGGGGAAAGCAGGGATCAAAGCGATTCTGCAGCACTTTGATCCCTTTCCCCCTACACTTGCTAAGCTCCACTTAGATTTCTTAATTTTGGATTAGAAAAGTGGGGCGGGGTGTCTTATACATTGGGGTGTCTTGTTCACAGAAAAATACGGTAGTTTGGCCTTTATTTACAGGTTTAAGCTAGTCTCAAGAGACCTCCTGAAACTGGCACAATTGTTACCATGTAAGAGGAAAGCTCACCTTTTTCTCTCTCCTCTCCTTTCCAAATAGGTTGACTGCAATGCGAAACTCGATCCAACGAAGACCACCCTCTTAAAGGTACTGAACACATAGAATTCATCTGTTTTTATAAACAGCCTGTATAAATGTATAAAGCTTGAGAAAGCACTGAGTTGTTTTATTTGCATGCAGCGATTGTGTTTGATGGTGAGGGTCTTTTTCGGGCAGGGGTCTCCTGGTTAGTAGCTGAGAGGGACATGAAGACTAGTTATGGGGCCGCTCCGTCTTTGTCTGCCGTGTCCAAAGCAGATGACCCATATTCTTGTACGTGCATCAGGGTTGTAAGCATGATTAAAGGTCAAAGGATAATGCTGCCGTCCCTGCATTTAGAAGCTCATTCCGTAATGGGTTTTAATCCTGCCAAATAGTAGTTCAGAGGGGTCATGCAATAAAGGGCAGCAGTTCATCTCCTCCCATCTTTGTCACCCTCTCATGAGAGGACAGTGCATGCTTTCCGAGCTCAAACGGAGCAAAAATTGGTTAATCTCTTGGCTTCAATGGAGTTTTTCTTCTGTGCCTTTGGGATATCTGTTTATAAGCATGTATATCAAATTTGCACCAGTTCCCAGAGTTAGAAACATAAATTGTTTAAAAGAAGGTAAACACTTGGCTTATACAAAATAATTTTGAGCAACTGAAAGCCGTACGCCTTAGAAAGGAAACCCACAGTCTCTTTTAAGGGAAGATCTTTAACCTCCAACGACTGAGGTGAACTTAGTACTGAAGTCAAACCAGTCAAGTCTCCAGACAGCTTGTTTTACACTGGAGGTCTTTGCCCATGTTGTGTGTGTGTGTGTGTGTATCCCTCCTGAGAAGAAGCCCACACCCTCCGTCTTTAGTCCACTTCCCTCTTTTTTTAATCTCACTCTCGGACAGCTGCCTCGCGCCCTCTGAGGACGGCACCTGTCTCCCTCGTGGGTCATGAGGGAGACTCATCATGTAAAAAGTAGGAAGTGAGGTGCAACCCTAAGTTGTCTCAGGTTCTCTGGCACCACCTCAGCGATCCTGTCTGTGAGTGCCTAGTGGTGAGGAAAATGAGCGCTGCCCACTGACCCAGCTGCCACCAAAGACAGAAACCAATGTGGTACTGTACATTAATAATAATAATAATAATAATTAAGTAGCACCAGGGATGGAGGCGATCTTGCAACAATGAGGAAAATTGTGGGGTTCTCAAGCAGAGGCTTGGTTGGCAAGCCTCTGGAAGCTTCTAGAAGCATCTTTTAAAACTCAGTCCCACAGTAGTTAAAAACGAGAGAGATACAGGACTCTTTTAAAAAGGCAGGAGCACAAATGTAGAGAATCTGCTTCAGAAGAATGTGAATGACTTGTTTATTGTGATCCACATGGTCGTGTTTATGGGATCCAACGCCACTGATTCTAAGAGAGAGATACAGACCGCTGGCAACTTAAGGACTCTTTTAAAAAGGCAGGAGCACAGATGTAGAGAATCTGCTTCAGAAGAACGTGAATGACTTGTTTATTGTGATCCACGTGGTTGTGTTTATGGGATCCAACGCCACTGATTCTTTTGGGTGCTGGTTATTGTGAGATAAGGTTCAGTGCTGTTGTTACTCGAAGGGTGTGTCCTTCGTGAAGAGCAAATATATAGTTTGCTCTCATTCTGATGACACCTCGCCCTGAGATTGCAGATTAGCGTTAAATCCCTTAGCTGTCCTGGGAGGCGAGCATGCTGGTAACTAAGCCGCAAGAGGACACCGAGACATTGGTAACAAAGTCCTGGGTCTGGTACACATTTATGAAATCACTAGAAAATTGCACATTTGATCCACAGTATAACACCCTTCTGTAGGCATAAAGGGACATCTGGGAGTGTGTGCATTCATAGGGTCGCTACAAATCAGAGACGACTTGAGGGCCCACAACAACAGAGAAGTGTAAAGACCTTAAACGTCTGTCATAGCAAGTTTGCTACATTTGTTGTTGTTGTTGTTGTTGTTGTAAGAAGTGTAAAGACCTTAAACGTCTGTCTTAGCAAGTTTGCAACATTTGTTGTTGTTGTTGTTGTTTTCTTTTGCTTTGTTTCCCCAATGGGGAAGTTGATTTGGTTTCAGAGACATCGCTTTGCAAAGACTTAGGTAAGGAGGATGCAGTTCTCAAAATGAGAATTTATGGCATCAAAATGAATTCAGAAAATTGTGCTTTTTTTCATATGAAGGCCATAGCAGCAACAAGACAATAAAGAGCATGGGCTGTTGCAAAGTGAGAAGTAGCTTGAGGAGTTACCGTATTTTTCCATGTATAAGACACCCTCATGTATAAGATGCCCCCCACTTTTCTAATCCAAAATTAAGAAATCTTAAGTGGGACTTAGCAAGGGTGGGGGAAAAGGGATCAAAGCCCTGCACGACAGCTTTGATCTCTGCTTTCCCCTCTACTTGTTTTTGTTCTCTCCTCAGCTTACTTCCGTGTATAAGACGACCCTCAATTTTTAGTCTAAAGATTTTAAAGTATTAAAGAGTATAAGACAGAAGTCTTAACACACGGAAAAATACGGGGAAATGTGGATGTAATTTTTAAAAAAAGATTTTTCAGTAGCTAGCTTTTACATATACACACACGAAAAAATGTTCCCACACTCAGATTTAAGCCCATATTATGTGATGTGATGTTGCTGTATATTATATTACATTATATTATATTGCCCCTACAGATGGCTGATTGTGGTGGTCTCCCTCAGGTTTCTCAGGTAAGATATCAATAAATAACTCATTAGAGGTTCTCGTAGTTGATTTCTTATTTGGGGTGGGGGTTAAGATGGGGAAGAGGATGTATTCTGTTTGGCTTCATCTAGAAGGACCTTGCTGGAGTCACATGGGGAAGAGATGTACAAACAGAAACTAAGGAATAGGAGAATTAAACACCATACTTGCCCCACTTATTGAGGCTCACTGCTCTGGGTGGTTTACAAAATAGACCATTGGAACCCCCCCCCAACAAACACACACCCCAAACACCACCCACATAGATATCCAAACACTATGGAGATATCTGATTGATTTTTTTTTTAAACCCTACAATTAAACATTCACAGCAGTGGGATATATGTTCTTGAAGGCCACTTTTATAAAGTTGTGTCTTCAGTAGCCTCCTAAAAGTCAGGAGGGATAGGGCCTGGAGAAACTCGGGTGGAAATTTATTCCATGGAATAGAGGCCACCACCAAGAAGACCCGATTCCCATTGTCATCTTCTGGGCCTCTCTCAGTGTGGCCACCCTTCATGCTGTGGCTTGGGAGGAGCATGTAAAACAGGCAGCTGTTTTCTGGGGCAGACGTTCTGACATATATCAAGGTCCTAAGCCATTAAAGGCTTTATAGGTCCAATCCATAAATAAAAGCAGTACAGTGGTGCCCCGCATAGCGAGGGTAATCCGTTCCGGATTAACCTTCGCTATGGGAAAACATCATTAAGGAGAACGGGGAAACCCATTGGAACGCATTAAACTTCATTTAATGCGTTCCAAATAGGCCCAAAACTCACCATTCTCCGATGTTTTCCCATGTTCCGGCGGCCATTTTGGGTGTTCCAGTGGCCATTTTGGGTGTCCCGGTGGCCATTTTGGATGTCCGGCAGCCATTTTGGAACCGCCGAACAGCTGTTACCCCATCGTAATGCGAGCGTGCCCTCGCATTAGCAATGGGGAAAACCGCATCGCAATGCGGATTCATCGTTCAACGGTGCGCTTGTTATGCGAGGCACCACTGTATCCCTGTGGCTGCTCCCAGATTTCTGTCTGGCTTCTCTTTTCTGTGGAAGCAAGGTGGGGGAGGTCTCACGTGGCTTTTGTGTATAGAAGCTGCTGACCGCTTGCATGCACCTACCAGAACATCCCGCCAGGAATGGGACTTTCAGAATGTTAGGGGGAGGAAAGCCTCATTTGCCAAGAACACCCCCCCCAGGCACCGAATTAAGGAAGTGATTGCCCCAAAACTAGAAGGGTTTAGACCAGCCCTTCCTGCTTCCATGCCTTTCCACACTGCTGCTGCATGAAACAATAAGAAAGGTTCCCCATTACGCTATGCGTGCCCCAGGGATCTCTGTGACTCACAAAGGAGCATGGGAGGGTGAATCTTGATGCCCATTAGACTGTATAGAGGCAGCTTCTGATGAAACTACCTCTCCCACTCACCTTTGGGAGGAGCAGTGAGATTCCTTGAGAAGATTCCTTCCACTGACTTCATTTCTGTTCTTTCGACTATCCTCTTTACCAGTCACTTTTCAAACATCAGGCAGCTTATACTGGGACGGTCTATGGATTGTCCATGGTTGCAATCCGTGATGGCTACGGCTGATCATTTTCCCATCTTACCCTTCTTTCTACAGCCTGCAAAACTTGCTGAAGCTTTCAAATACTTTATCCAGGGAATGGGATACAGTAAGTACATAGCTTGTTGGAAATAAAGTGCCAGCATGCCCACGAGTAAGAAACCCTGCGAGTTTCGTGTTGGCTAGGGTGGCTGTTTAGTTTTAGATTTTGTTGTTGTTGCAGGGACACGGTGTGCAACCGTGCCACAATATTATGTGCCCTGATAGAAATAACGGGCTAATTGGGGAAGGTTTTCTGCCCATTTGGATTTTCTGTGGACTCTGGAGAAGAATTGGAAAGTTTTGCTTGGTTGTCTTTGGAAGGGGCTGCTGAAGGAAATGCAAAAATGGTTCCTAGATGGGGGGGGGGAATGTTAGGACCCGTTTAAGATTTAGTTATGCAAAGGGGCCAACCGGAGCAATGCATTGGGAAGGTTTATGGATTTAGTCATATCCCAGGCCTTTTGCAGCTCCTCCCAACTGTATTTCCCTTCATGAACTTGCTTAAGATTACCAGGAGAGGCCTTTTCCTCAGTCCTACCACTTTTGCTGGTACATTTAGTGGGGACCCGGGAGAGGGCCTTCTCTGTGGCTGCTCCCAGACTTTGGAACTTCATCCCACATGAGGCCAGGTGGGCCCCATCTTTGCTCTCCTTTCACTAACAGGCGAAGACTTTTCCCTAAGTCATTGGAGGCAAACCATTTTCAGCTCGAGTGCCCAAAATGAGGGGGTGGGGAAGAAACCAGTGTCTGCCGTGCTGCCCAGAAGACCAGAACAGGAAGTGGCAGTTTCAGGGGGAATCATGGGGCCGGACAGGAAGTTAAAGGGGGAATCATGGGGATGGACAGGAAGTTAAGGGGGGGATCATGGGGACAGACAGGAAGTTAAAGGACCCAGAACAGGAAGAGAAAGGGGGAATCCCAGCTGCAGCCACTTCAAAAGGTTTGTCGTGTGCCAGAAGAAAGGGCTTCGCGTGCCAACTGTGGCACGCGTGCCATAGGTTCGCCATCACTGCCCTAACTGAATAGCTTCCTGTGTGCAGTTTTTCATATGGATGGTTGTACCTTAACTGCATTGAATGTATTTTGGTGTTGCTTACATTTTGGAGTTATTGTATTCATTGATCCTTTATGTATTGTGGACTCATTGTTATTAACTTCAATATATTATTTTAATCATTGTAAGCTGCCTTGGGTCGTTTTTAAGGGGAATGGTGGGTTAATTTTTTTTAAATAAATAAAAATGACCCTGCTATCCACCAGTTCATATGATAGATAGCAGAGAGAGGAGGCCTCTGAATTTAGACTTCTCTTGACGAGGTTTCATCAACAGGAGGGTGGACTAGATCAGTGGTTCTTAACCTTGGGTTAATCAGGTGTTTTTGGACTGCAGCTCCCAGAAGTCTTCACCAACAGCTGTGCTGGCTAGGATTTCTGGGAGTTGCAGTTCAAAAACACCTGAGTAACCCAAGGTTAAGAACCACTGGACTAGATGACCCTTCAGTTCTTGAGCCTTGATGGTCGAGGATTCCAGAATTGCACCTGCATGGAATACAGTCTCCTCACATTCTCCTGCATCATCTCCTTGATTTTGAGCCCTTCTATATCTGTAGTTTTCAGTATGTTGGTACATTGCTCCCAGTGATCAATCATATACAGAATATACTTTTTTTTCCCCTGAAATGATTTCCTCCATATTGCCTGATGCACTTTTTTTCCCTTTTCTTTTTTTCAGTGCCTTCCGCAAGCATGACAAGACTCATGAGATCCCGCACAGCATCTGGTTCCAGCGTCGCATCCCTGGAAGGGAACAGGAGCAGATCTCACACCGGGGAAGGGTCCCGGAGCCGGTCCCACACCGGGGAAGGATCCCGGAGCCGGTCCCACACCAGTGAAGCCATCAGGAACCGTGCTCACGCAGACACCCGCATTGAGCTCACTCCTAATTCGGCGAACAATGCCGAGCAATCCAGCCCAAAGTCCATGGAGGTTTCTTGTTAAACCAAACAGGCCTGAGTCTGGATCCCACTTCTGTACCACAATATTAAATCTAAAATGTTTTCTGTAACACACTGCTCAGTCCCCCCTACGCAGAGTTCGGCCAGGACCAATAAAGCAGACATTTCGGTTGCTTTGTTCCCTTTAACAGAGACTGCTGCTCTTCTTTCTTCAAACTAATTCTAGATTACTTTAAAACATCTCCCTACAATAGAGCTAACAGCGCTTGCAAATGCCAAGGCCAGAGGACATAAACCACCTAGGATCTGACTCAGAAATAAAAATCTTCAAAGCACATATTCCATCTCCGGCCCTAAATTTTCCCCTTTAAAAAAAAGAAATCCCCATTTTTATTTCAGAGCTTTTTTTTGGAAAAAGCCAAGGAAGATGGGAGGCTTTTTTTAGGAGGAAAACTACAGCCTTGCTTAAGCCTGGAATTGCTTAAATCTGTACATATTAATCACCTGGTCCTCTGAGTCCAGCCTTGTGAGTAGCTTCCTACATCAATACGTAATAACTGAAATAGGGAACTTAATACAACTTTCAGGCCAACGGAACGTAAGCCACTATTTCATGTTATTTGAGAGTTAGTTGTGAGCATTCCCCTTTTAAAACTTAAAAACGGTTGCCCCGAGGAAAAGTACTTTTCAAAATTCTGTCCAAAGGTGGTTAAGCGTTTGGTCTTTGGGTTTGCATTTCAAAGGACATTCAGAGACAGCAAAGTTAATTGATGTAGTTGAACTATTTTGAGCAGTCAAGGGGGGGCTGGCTCTCCCTGCTGGTGAGTGTCCCCCCCCTTCACCCAATCTCTGGCTTGTGTGATGCTTTTTGGCATTCTTAACCAACGTTGGGTCGTCCAGTTGAATCTAACAGTTAAGTTGTCATCGAAGGTGGAAACTTTATTTTCATTGTTTGACATTTATGCTGTAGTCAGTTGGCACAGGCTGTTCAAGCCCTAGAAAGTCAGGCTTAACTGATGCTGAATAGGTATATTCTGCAATGTTTATGGAAGATGCAGAAACAACAAATGGGGATTTATTTTGATGACTGTAAACATAAAGATGTATTGATTTGTAACTTTGAATTCTTCTCCTGAAGTCTGCAGAGCTGAATTTTGAGGAGTCTCTAAAGATTTCCAGCATAGATGGGAATTGTAGTTTTTAAAGATTTTTTTTCTACTGGCTTTTCTGTTGCTTATATCACTAGCTGATGAATTTTGAAGATCAAGCATTTAAAGCATCAAGCGTCTCGACACCTGAATATTTGGGGTAGTTGAAGAGAACTGATTTTCTAGTCTAGCTTAATTACTTCTCTAAAATTGACAGCTTCACAATTATCTTGGGTGTTTGGAAAGGAGGAACAGCAGACTGTAACGTGAGAAGGGTGTAAACCTTTGGGGAAAGTTTTTATTAATGAATTATTTGTATTTATTTCGAAAAATATATATAAATTTGTAACTTTGCAGTGGTTCGTATCTGTTTTGTGTCCTAGCACACATGGGTGATCTTCCGGAGGAAAGATTCCTTCTCCTAAGAATGGGTTTAATTCTTCCATGTCAAGACAACTACAGATTTCAAGCAAATGTAATCTGATGAAGGGTTAAAAACAAACCTCACCAGTTTGTGGAAGAAGCCCTTTGCATAAGAATCTAAACATTGTGGATCATCTAGAGATGGGCACGAAGCATGATTAGTTTCCTGGCCGAACAGCTGATCTGTGATTTGATGCCCCACCCCCTCCAGTGGGTGCCCACTCAGTGGCAGTGTCCTGCCACACATCCTCCAGGCACAGCTGTTGATTGGGTGCCAGCTGGAGATGGCAGGAAGCCAAACCACGGACCAGATGTTCAACCAGGCAACCAACTCTGCCGAACCAGCGTTTCCCGACCATCTCTAAAGACTTTGACATTTCTCCTGGTTATTTGTTCATTCCTGGTCAATGGGAAATCAGGAGGGCACAGCACTGATAGAGGAGACTGGTTATTTGCGGAAGGAACATCTGGATCCCACAGAGGTGGCTATAGAAAGCTTGAACACACACACCAGATTTTAATGCAGTAGAGAGGGTTCCTTTGTGATTGCCAACAAAATGTTTGATTTAGTTTTCTGTCCCTACTTCTGAATTTGGCTCACTTCGGCATCTGCATTCCATCCCCCTTTGAATTCTTTCGAGCTCTTTCTGTAGCAGAAAGAGAAAAAGGCAGCCTCCTTTACCCCAGTTGAGTCCAACACCCTGGTTCAATCTGTTGGGGGCAAAGGGCCAACTTCTCCTTGGTATGCCTTGAATTCAAAGTGTAGTCACCAAAACAGTGTTGTGAAAGAGGCTATATGAGGAGGAGATGTGTAGCTGTGACAAATCATAGTGCTGACTTCAACCCAGGAGAGAATGAGCTCAAATAGTCTTGACGCTGAGTCGCCCCTGCATTTCTGTTGAGAAGTAACATAATGCTGGCGCTCTGTTTAGGCCTCATGTAGAGTACTGTGATAGTTCTGGATACTGCACTTAAAAAGGATGCCAACAAACGAGCAAGTTCAGAGGAAGACAACAAGGATGATTAGGGGACTTGCATACGAAGCCCTGGGAGGAAAGAACTGGCCATGTTTAGCATTCAGAAAAGAAGACTGACTGGAGATCTATCAGCACTTTTCAAATCCTTGAAAGGCAATCATACAGAGGAGGGACAGGATCTGTTCTTGATCATCCAGAGTGCAGGACATGCAACAATGAGCTCAAGTTACAGGAAGCCATATTTCAGTTGAATAGCAGGACAAACTTCCTAACTGTTAGAGCAGTACAACAATGGAACCAATTATCCTGGGATGTAGTGAGCGCTCCAACGTTGGAGGCATTCAAGAGAAAATTGGACAGCCATCATATCTGCTTTGATTTGGATTCCTGCCTTTGGCGGGGGATTGAACTCTAATGGTTTCTCAGGCCCAAGTCCATGATTCTAGGATTCCTGAAAATTGAAGAAAACAATGCCCTGGAATTGTCCAAAGTCCTTGATTGTCTGCGTTTTGTAGTATGCCTGTTAAGGACAACTGTCCTTAAGTTACAGTCCTGGTGGCGACAGAGAGGATGCATAAAAACAGTGGTTCCTACCTTGAGGCCCCGATATTCTTGGACTAAAATTCCCAGAAACCTTCACCACTAGCTCTGCTGGCCAGGATTTCTGGGAGTTGTAGTCCAAGAACATCTGGAGACCCAAGGTTGGGAATCACTGTGTTAGAGTATACATTGTGATCCACTGTTACTTCCATTGCAACACAAAGCAGACATGCATGATCACAAGTGCTCTCAACACTATATAAGCAGCTGGGGGCGGGGTTCCTTTTAAAAAAAGAGACACCTTGCAAATGGATCTGAGTTTGTGTGCATTCAAGCTAATGATATGGAGGCAAATTAGTACAGTGGTGCCTCGACTTACGAACTTAATCCGTTCCAGAAGCTGGAACATAACTCGAATTGGTCGTAAATCGAAGCACCATTTCCCCCAGGAATGCACTGAAACCCCTTTAATCCGTTCTGGCCAAAGGAAAAAAAAATCACCAAAAAAAAACCAAAACAACATTGCAAGCCTCCTTGGAACGCACTGGGGCCGATAAAAAAAAAAAAAACACAGACCAAAAAATTAAAAACTCACAGGACAGAAACATAACCTTCCCCGGTCCAAACCCATGCTGCAAAAAAGCCTGTATGTACTCACTCAGAAGCAGAAGCCAGGCATTCTGAAACCTCCCTGCAAACCCACACTCTCTAACCATTGGGGTGAAACCCACACTCTCTTAACCATTGGGGTGAAATGCCACCAACGGTTAGCACTTTGAATTCCCTACCTTTTTCCCTGCCTTTTTTCCGGTCGGAACTCGAAGCTCCGGTTGCAAGTTGAAGCAAAATTTTGTGGCTGGAGATGGTCATAACTTGAAATGGTCGTAAGTGGGGACGTTCATAAGTCGAGGCACCACTGTATTCCATGAATCCCAGGCACTGAGTTTGTTGGTGGACCTGAAAAGTCACATTTTCAAATACTCATATTGGTCTCCTGGAGCCTTAAGCTGAGTTTCCAGGGAGTTTACATGCCATGAAGCGTAGCACGGATTAACCCCTTTTCACAATGGGCTGAGAAACGGGCGATCAGGTGCTGTAGAGATCTGTGTTCATGTTATTGAACTTAACAACAAATGAACTGGCATCAGGCAAGCCATAATGAAACTGAGTTTGCTGATGCCAAGCTAATCAAGATGGCAGAGCAAGCGTGAAATACTATAATGGGAGCTGTCCAAAGCTCTTTGGTCCATGTGAATAGTATAAACTCAAAGGTGAGACAAACTCACCTTTTTTGTTTGTTTCTTTTAAATCCTTTTTCTGTATGGGTACCTGCCAATGGAATCAGAGTACTATTCAAGGAGAACATTGGTGGGTAGCATAGTATAAATGCGTACTATATCAATATACCATTTGAGTGGCATAGGAGATATGAAAGACTGAATCGGAGTCTTTTGTAACCAGTGTCTGTTGTGTTAGCCGTGTATTCATCCCTCTGTGTCTCCTTCTCCTAAGCTTTACTGTCATTTTATCTCTCCAACCTGGTCAGTCTCTTGAGTGGACCCTAGGCATCTTTTCAGTAGCAGAGGAAAAGGTGATATCATTGCCTAACTCAAAGCCTGTCCCTACAGGAGAGCTCCCCAATCTTTTTGGACAGGTGGGCATACCTGGAAGGCCAGGAAGGGGCAAACCTTGCCTGTTCTTACCATGACTGCTGCCGCCAGTGCGTGACATGGCAAAACATTGCTGAAAGACAAACTGGTGAGGTTGGAAGAGCTTGCACCCAAACCCTACATAAGGGATTTGAAGCAGGGTATTCTCACTGGAAGGACAGATCCTGAAAGTGAAGCTCCAATATTTTGGCCATCTCATGAGAAGAGAAGACTCCTTGGAAAAGACTTTGATGTTGGGAAAGTGTGAGGGCAAGAGGAGAAGGGGACGGCAGAGGACGAGATGGTTGGACAGTGTCATTGAAGCAACCAACATGAATTTGACCCAACTCTGGGAGGTAGTGGAAGACAGGAGGGCCTGGTGTGCTCTGGTCCATGGGGTCACGAAGAGTCGGACACGACTAAACAACAAATTACGAACAAGGGACACTGTTTCCCTCTTTACTCTAGACTCAGTGGCACTCTAGAGGAAACAAAGACAGTGGGTGGGTGTAAGGCTGTGAGGACACACTCCTGCTAAAGAATAATAATAAAGGTAGCGGGGCAAGAGAATTTGAGAGGGGGTGCCCATCGGAGGTACCTTTAGATATGTTTCCTGTAGGCACGGTATTAAGGATGCCCACTTTGCATGAAATAGCAATGGGTCTCACCAGTCCAATTGTGGGTGCAGCTACATTTGATGCACATCCTTTGTTGTATCTGAAATCGTAGTCAGCGCTCATACTGGATGTGTGGATTCAACTGAGAGTTCATTTACCACACCAACAATTCAAAGAATTTGCTCTCTCCACCCCCTCCTTCTCTCTTTTTGCCTTCTCCAACTTCAGTTGGCCTCTGTACCTGGTACTTCACATACACACCCCTCTTCTCCTTCCTCTTCCCTCTGCCAATCCTGCATTCAATAAACTTCTTTGGGCTCCCTTTCACACACACACTCCCTCAGAAAGAAACACACCTGACAAGAGGTTATTCAGGCACCTTCCCTCAAGCAATAAAAGTGCCAAAGGGCATTGAGTAATGTGGCGGCTTCTGTTCTTCCTCCTTTTTTACCCACTATTTCCCTTCCACACGAGCACACACCATCCTCTCTGCTCTCTTTCATTGCCCTCCTCAGTCTCTCTCACTCTCTTTTTTCACGGCTGCCTCTTCTCCTCCTGCTCTTCCTCCCTCCCTCCTATACAGACACGGCTTCCACCTTTACACAAATATGGACAGGGGGGGAGAGGGGGAGGGAAGCCCCTTTGAATGCTTCCAGCAAGAAAGAAGTAGAAGCCCCCAGAGAGGAGAGGGGAAAATGCTTTGCAAGTTAAAAAAAAAAGAGAGCACCAGATGGATTTGAATCAGCTTTTGCATCATGTGGGCAGCAAAAAATAATAATAATAAATTAAATATTTCAAATTAACCCATTTTATAAGTGGAACAAATCCCAAGATGTTTGACGGTGTTGTTGACCACTGTATCTCCCTCAGCCTGACATCAAGGGAGGTCGAAGACAAAAAATCTGCAACTTCCTTTATGCACTTTATCATTAAATTTCAATGCCTTCTCCCCTGGGGACAGTCGAATGAAAAGCAGCTTAGATTCTGTCTCTGAATAAATAGAGTGCCTAGGGAGGTAAATTTAAAATTCTCAAGGAGAAGTTTTACAAATTAGACTTCTAGCTTATTCCAGGGTGTGCTGGCTGCTATTGTTTTTATTTTTTTGGATTGATTGATTTTTCCTTTTTTCTTTTTTGCAAAATATTTCTTTCTTCAAAGGAGCTCAGCTCTTAATAATAGAGAGGAGCAGCTGGCACGGTGCCTGCCATGAGTATAAAGTGTCCAAATATGAAGCAGGCAAGGATCCTCATTCCTTGCCCAAAACAGCTGTAGAGAAGTGACCCTTGTGTTGAAAACATGCACACCATGCTATTTCTGAGCCTTGTCCCAGAAGTGGATAATTGCCCCATCCAGGAGGGACATCTCCCCAGCTGGTGGTACCCTAAGCCGCTTAACTTTAAGACAGGCGGGAAGGAACAGAATCCTCCTTGCGAAGACCCGTCGCACACTCCCTGCCGTGAAAGGCACTTGGCAAGCGCTGAGGGTTTTGCGTAGAGCAACCAGGGATCAAGACTGGAATCAAAGCACCCCTGGAAAGGCGTCTAAAGCTTGCTGACCTCCGCATGACACGTCCCCCACCCCACCCCGGCTATCTGCCATCAGATGGCAAACAATATCATTACCAGCAGTTGCTTCCTTCCTTCTTGTAAACAGCACTGATTCAGTGGCATTTTCATTAAGACGGTGGTGTAGCAGAAAAGACTCCACGTGGCAGTCTTTGCCCTCACAGATGAGATAGATTTAACAGAGAGATGAGGAAGGATCCTTTGAGGGGGGACCATTGTTCCCCAAATCCACCAGCCGGCATGACCAGTGGGAGAAATCTGGTAATTGTGTTCAAAGCATGTTATACTTCTGATCTCCGTGTTAAATCCAAACAGTTGCTTGACTTGCAGTTTAGCCCAGAGATGAGGATGGTAGAAGAACAAAGAATACACATGATTCCCACAGTGAGCCCCATTTTTGCCCCAAGTAAACTACTTTTTGTAAGTTTTTCATCTTCTAAAAACTCCTCTCATTGCAAATTATAAGAAGTGGATGCGGACAAAACAGCACAAGATGGAAAAATCTTTTGGAAGCTTGGAGGATCCTTGGGGTTTGCAGGAAGACAGAAATTATTTGGGGGGTGAACCTAAGAAGGAAGACCTTCTATCCACACATACACAAAAAATCAGCCAAAGAAGGACTGAGCATGGTCAGTACAGAATGATGGCTAGTGATAAGGTGTGTGATGGCAGGAGGGTGAAATGTCACATGGCTTAGATTTTGAGGCTACAGGTCCCAGAATCCTTCACATCGTGTGGCCAATAACCATAGTGGCTGGGGATTCTGGAAACTGTGCTTCCAGAAAGTCACTTCTCTCAGATCTGGAATGAAGCCGCTGGGATCCTGAACAGCAGCCCTCCACAGTGCCGAACGTCACAGCTGGTCTTTCTTAACCGTTTCCAAAGGCTCCTAAATAGAGATGGGGGTATTCGTATCTGAATGTGAATAACCCCCAACTCTATCCCTAAGCGGGGGTGTGTGGATTTCTGCTTTTGGAGTGCCTCAACTTGGATCCCCCAGGCAGCTCCTGGAATTCTGGGAGTGCCATTCCGAAATACAGTGGTGCCTCGCTAGACAGTTACCCCGCAAGACAGTTTTTTCACTAGACACTGACTTTTTGTGATCGCTATAGTGATTCGCAAAACAGTGATTCCTATGGGGGAATTTCTCTGGACAATGTTTGGTCCCTGCTTCGCAAACCAATTTTCACTAGACGATTTTGACAGCTTCCTCCGCGCTCGCAAAATGGGTGTTTTCGGGACCTAAGCTTCGCAAAACAGTGATTTAAACAACTGATCAGCTTTCCTATGGCCGATCTTTGCTAGACAATGACAATTCTTCCCCATTGGAACGCATTAAACAGCTTTCAATGCATTCCAGTGGGAAAATGCTTTTCGCTAGACAATGATTTTGCTAAACAGCGATTTCAGTGGAACGGATTATCATCGTCTAGCGAGGCACCACTGTATAAAATCCGGTACCCCTCTCCTGCTCACTAGAGGGAACAACGGGACCAAAGGGTGGCAAGGCAGAAGTGATCCTTCACGACCACTTCCAACCCTTTTTCAAACGACTGGTCTTCAAGCCTTGCCTGAAGGCAGACGTTTCCTACTGAATTCCTCCCGGGGACATTTCCTAGGATCTCTTGCTTCCAGTCCCGCTTGTACCACCTCCCCATGAGTGCCTTGTTTGGAGCAAAGAATTCTCAAGGGAGCCTTTGTTTACGAGATGTTTGCTGTGCATGGCCCGACGCAGAGTCATGTGCCCCTTCACAATAGCGAAGTTCAGGACGCGATGAATAGGAAATGTGCTCTGCCTGGCTTGTGTAGCATGAGCTAATTGTGGGGCCATTTCTCCCTATCAGCCAGCTTCATGGTTTGAGCAAAAAAAGAAAAGAAAAACAGGCTGCATACAATGCTTCAAACTCTTCAACACTGCAGCCTAGAATCCCCTGAGCACTTTCAAATGCACACCTCTCTGTCTGGGTATGCTTTTTGATTGCACAGACCCTTGCGTCTGATTCCTGCAACATCATGTGGGTCTGCGATCATGCTGCATGGGTAAGGGGGAGGAGGAGCTCAGGTGAGATGGATGTTGCATGCCTCAATGTCATAGGCACTGTCCAATCGGCTCAAACAATACGGTACGGATAGCACATCATTAGGAACTGCATTTTGTTCCACACGTAAAGATGTCTGGATTGTCATGCCACATCCATTCTCAACTCTTTCGTGTTCCAGCTAAGTGTGATCGGTCACCAGGAGATAAACACAGGTTTCATTTGCAAGTCTGATGGGTTGGTGGTGCATCTCCATGGAATCATCAGCTTCTAATTACGGGCTCCCTGTATTGCCTGATCTGGTGCATCCTTGATACTCCCCAGATTCTACCATACTGTTCTTAGCCTTGAAAGCAGCAGTACTTTCTCTATCCAGTTGACATGGAGCGTTACAGATTCATGGACAATTCCTTATCTATTCACCTGGAGATTTTTTGGGGGGGACATGTAACTCTCTATATGTTTTGGATTGCAGATCCCATAACTCCTGACTGATGGTTGTGCCCCATGTGCCTGAATAGGACCTGGTCTCTCAACCTGTCGAACCTGACACATCGTTTGCAAAAGCCAAGTGGATTCCCACCCTCATTTTCACAGCATACCACCCACAAAAAAAGATACAGACTGTTTCTCTCTTGGATGCTTTGATGAATAAAAAGATTCTGTTTTTTTTATTATTATTGCTTTCTCCTCTGTAAAATCAGAGTAATAATGTGTAAGATTTGGAAAAGGGCGGGTTGATTTCCCTCTCCGATCCCTCCCATGTTTTCCAGGATTTGGCCCAACTCTCTCTCTCTCTCTCAGTTAGCAATTTCAGAGTAATCGTGATAATGAGCCAAGTCAGCAAAGATGTCATTGGGGTTATTGCAGCTCAGGTTGCAGAAGCAGGCGTTGATCCACATGATTTTCCTGGAGAATCCCGTCCCGTCTGGACACTGGAAGCTCACCTCGATGGTCTTTGACTTGTACGGAGCACAACAGCGGTCATCCACACAGAGGCCGCAGTACTTGGGCCTGTAGGTCATCTTGCTCGCACATCCAGAGAGCGTGTAGTTCATTGGCTCGTCTCTCCTGTACACAGCTAAGCATTTCTTCCCAGGCTACAGGGAGCGTTCAAAGCACAAAGGAGAGTGCAATTAAGCAATGCCCTTGAGTTACCATGCTTCTAATATTTAGCAGTCTATGGGTGGCAAGCTGGTTGGATAGCTCAGCAAGAGTTAGCTGTCTCTGGCTGTGGGGCCAGAGGTTGGGAGTCTGATCTCCCACTTTGCCTCCCAAGAGAACAGCCAGCCTATGTAGCCTTTGTCAAGCTGCACAGCCTCAGGGTGCTAGAAATAAATGGTAAACACCCCTTCTGCATACTCCCTACCTAGACAGGGTCACTATATGTTGGAACCAACATGACAGCACAGAATTCTTATTATTAGGCAGGGCAATGCACCAGCCTGGCCCAGATGCTCTCTGAAGAGGGACACAAAATGAATGTCACATAATATACACAGAATCTGGGAAGTTATTTATTTATTTTTTCCACAATCCCAACAAGAGTCTTCCAGTCAGGATGACCTACAGTCAGGATGAGCTACAAATCCTGTTATCAGAGCTTGGAAGTAAGGGGTTAAATGTAAGGCATTATTTGGTTGTTGTGGGTTTTTCGGGCTCTTTGGCCGTGTTCTGAAGATTGTTCTTCCTGATGTTTCGCCATCATCACCCTATCCCCTGAAAAGGATAAAAGCTGTTCCCACAGCAATAAATACTCAATTGTCCAACAAACAGCAACAGAGCATGGACAGAGTTCCTACTCCAGTCCCCTGAAGATGCCGGCCACAGAGACTGGCGAAACATCAGGAAAAACAACCTTCAGAACATGGCCAAAGAGCCCAAAAAAACCACAACAACCATCAGATCCCAGCCATGAAAGCCTTAGAGAATACATTAAGGCATTATTTGTTCAGGTTTTGGTTACCAGGGCGTAACCAAGTTACATTTCAAAAGTTACCTAACAAGCATTTTTTGTGTTACTAAGAATTAGCACCATAAATTGAGTTTACAATACTCATTACAAGGATCCATGAACATGGATTTCCAAGTTAGGGTGGAACCGTTAGCTTTAACCCTTTGCATTCCAGACTCTCTTGGAACCTCGGCTGCCAACCCACTTCGTTCCTAGACACGAATTTGCAGACGAATTCTTGTCATCTCGTCTCTTGCCTCAGCAAACCAAGGCCCGGAGCTGGCCCTGATTCCCTACCTTGATGTGCTGGGCGATGTCCTCTTCACACGGCCGCAGGTTGCAGAGCCGGCTCTCCTTCATCAGGTGGCACTGGTCGTTATCGTTCGAGATCCTGGTGGAAATGCCCATCCCGCAGGTTTTTGAACAGGGGCTCCAGGGAGAGGTCTGAAGGAGGCAGTTCTTCTGCCACGATTCAATTTCGCCTTCATAAACTGGAAAATAAAGGATCGCTTGGAATGAGGAGAGCTTCCTCACATTTTTGTCAGTCAAGTCAGTTCCTGAGGAGAACGGGAAGGCACTAATCATTCTTTTGTTTGTTTTTTATTATTTATTTATTCTTTCTTCATCTTGTTTTGAGGGAACTTTGTCCCTTTTGGATTTTAAAACATTCTAAATGGTGGCTTCCTAAGCTTGTTAATACAGTACTTCCTTTTTCCTTCTGT